AATATGGAGACTAGCAGTGTTTACTGAGGAAAAATAAAAATACACTGGAGATATAATCACATCTACCTCTTCATTGTGTAACTTCCTCTTTCTTAAGGTTCTTGATTTCATTAATTATTAGATAAAACGATTTTAAATTTCTGAACTTTTTTAACTGGCCACGATGAAATCTTAGGGAGTTCATTTTTTTATAAATCTGATCTGACATCAAACCATTTACAGAATACATAGGATGACATCTTAATATCAAAATACAGTATCTCAAAATACAGTATTACTAGACTGATCAGAATCAAAAGGAAAACCTTACCACTTAAAATCTTAATCGTTTTCTGAGCTATGACATCAAACCCATTCATAATGTTAAGATTCCTTAATAGCATGAATATTTAAGTAGAAGCAATACTCAGATAAGAGAGACCTCTAATACCTAAGAATGCTTGGGATTTCTAAGAAAGGCTAGCTTGAGTGACTTCAGTCAACTTGTTGCACTCTGCGATAACAGTTTGGTAGTGAGGAGGCTTAAACTCTTGATTAAGATGTCTAGGTTATCCAAATTTATTTAATTTTTTCATGTTCACTATAAACACATGAAGAAAAGTATGTTCTATCTCGAATGTAGTTTAAATATTTGGGTAATACCAAATCACATAATCACCTGTGTCAATGAGACCTGTAATCCTGAGTTCTATTTCCAGTTCTGCCATCAATTTATGTAGGCTAGAATCTCTTTTACATTTCATTTTCCTTACATGTAATACTAAGAAGTTTGATGTTTCACTGTCTCAAATTCTCAAATTATTATACAATGCTGAGGATCTATGTAGATATATACTTCATTCTCTCATTCAATGTCTGAGAAATTATTCTGAGGGCATAAACCAAGCATATTTCTTGGTTTCATTTTTCATTTCAATGAAAGATGAAAGAACAATGGAAATTACATGTTAACCACAATATAGTGAATGTGTAAGATAAAATTAAACATACCTAGACCAGCACAGAATAATCTTATTCTTAAAGCACTGTGAGTCAATGAATAAATAAAGGAATGAAGTTCATGTTTCAGTAAGAGTATTCACCAATGAAAATGCTGGAGGCTGGGTTAGACTGGACTATTAGAAACCAGATAAAACGGGCCAGTGACTTTTAGAGGGGATTTTGCAGAACCTCCTGGTATTGGGGCTTTTTATATTTGCCTATCACCTTTATCTGTGCTAGCTCCTATTTTTGAACTTCCTTATTCAGTTCCACATCTCAGCCATTTCTTTTGGATTTTAGATATTTATTTGGAATTCTAGAACTCCCTCGGGGAGTTCCAATTTTCTAACTGGAACCAAGTTTCACACCAGCATCATCCTTTATTCCAATCCTGCTGTTCCCATGATCCTCTTAAAAATCTGAGTTTCTGAAACAAGTAAACATACCTGAGTATCAAAATGGCCTCTTTCTCTCTCTACATATGGACACATACCTACAATGCACACACACTCCCACCCCCGAGCTGAACCAAAAGCCACCTTCCCAAATATTGGAGTCTGGCTTTATCAAAATATCTGTGGAATATTACCAAAAGTACAGATTCATAGGCTCTACAATACAGCTTCTAATCTACACCTCTAGAGGGCAGGGTCTTGGATTATTATGATTTTTTAAACAATTTCCAAATCAGATGTGAAGGCAGTTTGGGGGACCTCACCATGGCAATACTATGTTCTTCCATAAACTTATAACCTCTATCTTCTACTCCTTTAAGAAGTAACTTTAAAAATCTTATATACATACTATCCTTGGAAGTGCTTTGTCTAAGAAAAATGAGAAATTACTTGCAAAAGGATACATAAATGGGTAAATACGTAAAAAACCTCATGACATTAGGAATGTCTTCATTCAAATGAAAGGTGAAATCTACGCTCATGTTTATCACTGTACTGTTTTCTAAAGAACAATAACAAAAAAACAGAAAAAACAAGTCCTAGAAGAACTATGGCAGTAAGTTAAACGGGTAGGATTGGGTGTTCTTAAGCAGTTCTAAGGTGTTTGTGAAGAGACAACTTAGTGTTTACTGATTCTAAAATTCACTTTTTTTTCACATTATCTTTGAAATCAGATTATACCATACAAATGATACCATCTTACAATGAACTGTTGGTATTTTTCTGTCTTAGCAGTAATAAAATTAATTATAGCATTTCCTACAATCAGAGTAGGTAAAATACTATAAACGTGAATTTTTCTCTTGTCATCAAAGACCATTTCTCTAAAACTTCAGTTAGGAAAAAAGCTGCTAGTCTGGTTTGAATTTTGTAATCCATAAAAGCAATGAACATATTTTGCTTTTTATTTTTTTTTTAAATAAAAAAAAATCCGTAATTATTAATTCAAGTTACCACTCCTCAACAAAAAACGTCCAAGAGTCTCACATATGTAAGTCATTATTTTCTGGGCTTGATTTCTAAACTAATAAGTGCATGAACTCTAAGGTTCTTTCAGCTCTTAAAGCCTAGGATCCCATAATTTTATTTATCAGTATTAAGCTTACCACAAAGTTTCTTATTTCTTCTTTTCTACCCAATCCTGCTCTACAGTTCCAAAATTAGCAAGTCTTAAGAAAGTGGCCAATGGTTTGTTTACTGTGATATATAAGCATGAGGCTTAAAAAGCAAAGGAGGCCAGGCGCGGTGGCTCAAGCCTGTAATCCCAGCACTTTGGGAGGCCGAGGCGGGTGGATCACGAGGTCGAGAGATCGAGACCATCCTGGTCAACATGGTGAAACCCCGTCTCTACTAAAAATACAAAAAATTAGCTGGGCATGGTGGCTCGTGCCTGTAATCCCAGCTACTCAGGAGGCTGAGGCAGGAGAATTGCCTGAACCCAGGAAGCGGAGGTTGCGGTGAGCCGAGATCGCGCCATAGCACTCCAGCCTGGGTACCAAGAGCGAAACTCCGTCTCAAAAAAAAAAAAAAAAAAAAGCAAAGGAGATCCTTGGGAAATAAGAACTTAAAAAAACTCATCACTACTTTTGACCTTTCATATGAGAATAATCTTAAACCACTTTCTGCATTTGGATCCAGTTTTCAAGATTTAGAAAATCCATTCGTTTTCAAAGACAGAGTGACCATTACATAATACAACCAATAATTTGTAGAACACATTTATAAACTTGGACAGGAGCAACAGAAGTATAATACTTATATTTAAGATCAGAAATGTCCATGTGTCCCTATGGTATATGATGTCATTTTTTTTCAGTCACTTTTAAAATGAATTCACTGAACTGTATCATGACATCCCCATTATTAGGTTTCTAATCCAGCAGCCCAACTTACCCGGACGAGTGCATCATCTATGATATGGTCACGTCTAACTTTGAGTCTCAAATACGGATTCAACTGCTGTCCTTGAACTAAGCTGTAGAGAACAGTGATTCTTCGTTCACTGTACATGCGAATTCTATTGTCATAATATAATCCCAAATTCTTTGTGACAGCATTCAATATAAAGGGACATGTCATAAAAGAGAATTTGTTCTCTGTTTCTACTTTGAAAAAAGTATAATCTTTATCCATTTCTAGAACCTCATTCAGTGGTTCATTAATAAACTCTTCAAAAGGGATGAGTGGTTTTCGACAATCTAGGGTTTTAACACCAAGTTCAGTTTCCAGGGGGTCCACTCGAGGACCTTTCTTGTTTCTTCTTTCTTCTCCCAGAAGCTCCTGAAGTGTCAGCTCACTGGACTCAGGGATGGGCTCTTCATCATCTTCTTCATTGTGATTTGTGTCCACGTCCCCTCCTACTACATTTGCATAGTAAACCATCTTCAAGCACTTCGAAGCAGCAACAATGGCATCATCATCATTCACTAGATTTCGACTGTTAAATTCATTGCTTATGACTTTATAAGTAATAAGTTGCTGAAATGTCTCCATCATTCTCCGAATCTGGTCTGCATTGTATTTCGACCACAGTCTGATCAGTTTTCCTTGGGCTGCAAGGGGTAGCTTGCTCATTGCTTTGCAAAATAATGGCAATGCCATTTCCAGATATTCAGGACTGTGGAGATTTCTATTCTCCATTACGATAATGAACAAATTCAGATAATTAGGATCTCGAGAGTATACGTTGTGATACGTCAAGTCACATTCCACATTAGGTGACAAATACACAAGTGCATTGAGAAAGGCAGTTTCAATTTTTTCATTAGAGAGCAATCTGGTGTAGACCCTTCTAATGGCATCAATATCCACAGATACATCATCAGGGCCTAATTTTTGCAAATTGTTGTCTCCCTGTGAGCTGTCACCTATCCTGGAGGAAGATGCTTCTGAGTCTTCTTCCATAGCAGCAGCAGAGCATGCGGCTTTTTCCTTTTCATCTTCATCCTTATCTTCATCCTTGGCTTGAAGAGATTTCAGTTCTTCCTTGGTGTGTTGTTTAACTTTCCGGAAGCTCTGTACCAATGCCTCAGCACTAGAAAAAACTCTTCCAATCACACGGATTAAAGGGGAATAATCCTCTCTTTCTCTACATAATTCAAGAATTTCATATACCTTCTCTTCTGTCAAGTAAGTCACATCTAGAAAATTAGAAGAAAAAAGAGAACATTTATTTTCATAATATGCATGCTTACTCTGTTGCAAAAAGTTATAAAACAGCCAGATATTCTAGACTGTGTAATTTATGATACACAACTCTTAAAAGTATCTAATACTTACATTCAGCAAATAAAATTTAATGCTTACCCTTTTCAATGAACTACCTATACCAATGTTCTCAATCATGCTTTTACATTCTTTCAACAATGCATAACTCTTAATAAGATCGTGAGCTTAAACGCTCTTTATAATCAAGATATCTATTAATGTATAGCTTTAATTATAAAAATGAACCAATATATCATGTCCTGATTCATCATAATACAGCTCTTAAAACCTCACTGTAGAACAGACAAATACTACTAGTCTTCTTTAAGTCTTCTTGTTGTACTACTCTGTTCTCAGAAGACTGAGGAGGCAAGGTCTTACACAGTGTGAAGAAGGCAACTTAAAGGCTGGCCGGCAGTACGGAGACTGCGCAGTCAGCAAAATCGGGTTCCTCTTTTCCAGGGCACAGAGTTGAACCACATTTTCTCAACTTTTTGAGGTAAGTGTTGTTTTCAAGCCAAGCCTTTTACTCTTTTGGTTAACAGGATAAAAGATATTTGTGCCAAATATACTCTTACACATGTACTGTACAACATGTTGAATTTTTAATGACTCCCACCTCTGCTTTAATATATCTTTTTCACAATAAAAGACAGTATAAAATATAAGTGATCACTGAATGGTCTCCAAAAATTGAACCACAAAAATGCCAAATTTTATCACACTAAGATCGGGTCTGTGGCCCCGCTGCAAGAGTGCCAACACTTGCACAGTTTCTTTTATGGGCCTTCACGCTTTAAGAACTAATTCTCAGGTCCGTTCTATTAAGAATATATAAGCATCTTTTGCTAAATATCAGTCGCCTCTTCCCCAAAAGTGTAAAACCACTGCTATTTCTCATTTTCATTGAAAAATTTTATAATACCTTCTTAAAAGACAATGCAAAACCCCTATCTAATTTCCTAAAGTGTAACAGAAAATAATACTATCCTATTAGGACAAAAGACACTTTGCTTTCTGAGCAAGACATAAGGTTAACAAAGACTTGCTTTGCATTCTAGACCCACATGTCCTTTGCTGATATGTCGTGCTTTCGGGACATTTTCAAGTGATTCTGACAGTCTACTAATCCTATCTAGAATGTACCTATACTTTTTCTACCTACATGTAAATTAGTCAAAAAATACTGTAATTAGATAAGAACATTCATGAAGTTTGGGTATCAATAGAAAGAGGCGTTCTACTGAGAACATATTAAACAAGATATTTTTGTAAAATTTCTTGTGAAAAATGTGTGTTCCTGAACATAATTTCAATCTTTTAAATTTTGCACTTAAAAAACTCATGCAAAAACAGAGTGTGGGGCAGACTACTTAACACCTATGCAATTCTGTGATTAGTTCTAACCATAATTAATAATCAAAATAAGAGTACTAGTGTAGATAAAGCATCTCTAATTCCTACTATACTACAGAACATTGGGAAAGAAGTAAAGAACAGGGAATAGCATATTAGAAAGTAGGTATAAGGCAAGGTCAAAACTGCTAACTGACGTAGACTTGAGCGAAAAGAAGAGGGGCATAAAGACTAGATAGAGCCACACAATACGCGCCTCTAAGATGGAGCACATCGTGTACCACATCCCTCACAGCTGGCTGCATCCTCCTGTGCCAGCACTCTACATTCAATTACTGGTACTCCACGGCGCATACTTACTGTAGAATTGTGTATGATAAAGTCAATGCAGCTTCCACATTATACCAACACATATATATTGACAACATTTACCTATTTTTCCATAGTGTGTGAGCTAATTCACAAAATAGAACTATACATTCCGAAGCAACAAAGTTGTGTAAAGTCACGAAAATAATTTTATTGTGGAAACAGTAGAGCAGGTGTCCCCAAACTGCGGCCCCCTGAGGCCATTTATCCGCCCCCACCCCCGCCGCACTTCAGGAAGGGGCACCTCTTTCACTGGTGGTCAGTGAGAGGAGCACAGTATGTGGCGGCCCTCCAACGGTCTGAGGGACAGTGAACTGGCGCCCTGTGTAAAGAGTTTGGGGACGCCTGGGGTAGAGGTTATAACACAATGCCACTTCACTAATTCTTTCAAACTTGATTCAAATGATGTTACTAAAAGTTTTAAAGGCAAATCCTCTAAAATTCTCACTTGTTTATATCATAAACAAAAAGCTTTCTCTTTTAAAATACAATCACCTCTGGGTATGTAGGGGCGTGGGGGGTGCTAAGCCCTGGTAGTCATTCAAAAATTCAATTAACTTGGCCGGGCGCGGTGGCTCACGCCTGTAATCCCAACACTTTGGGAGGCCGAGGCGGGTGGATCACGAGGTCAAGAGATCGAGACCATCCTGGTCAACATGGTGAAACCCCGTCTCTACTCAAAATACAAAAAATTAGCTGGGCATGGTGGCGCGTGCCTGTAATCCCAGCCACTCAGGAGGCTGAGGCAGGAGAATTGCCTGAACCCAGGAGGCAGAGGTTGCGGTGAGCCGAGATCGCGCCATTGCACTCCAGCCTGGGTAACAGAGCGAAACTCCGTCTCAAAAAAAAAAAAAATTCAATTAACTTGTTACTAATTACCTTCACTGAGGAAAATAACTTGCAGTTTAGTATTAGCAACAAGGTAATCAAATTCTCATGTTTGGACAGAGAACCATGTAGAAAACAGAAGACTGCCATTGGTGGGTCATGATCCTTGGCAGCATGACTGTACCAAATGTCTGGGAGGAGTGAGAAGCATATATTAGAAGAACATGTAGAATTATTTCTCACATAACTAAGACAAAATTTCGTCTTGCCTTCAAAAATGGAAAAAAAACACTGCTTCCCCTTTCTGCTGCTTTCACATCATCATCTGAGGTTCCAGAAGTCCAGTTATTTTAAACTTAAATAGGTTTTGTCGCCTAGTTTTGGAGATTAACTACCACTTAATACAAACCTTTTGGCATATGCTCTGCTTCTAATTAGCAACAATTAGACCTGTAAAATACAGTCATGAATTCACTTACTACTCCTGTCCTTTACCACAGTGAAAATTTGGTTCTACTCTATCAAAACATCTTAATGTCAGATAAGGAAAAACAAATAAAACTGTAAAAACAAATTTACATTTAAATCTCCCATATGGTTTTCAGCCAACAATTCTCAATAAAAATAAAACATCTTACCTTTAAAATCAATTCTAGCGCCTTTCTTGTTCATTTTTATCTCAGAGCAGGAGTTGTTAGGGGCACCTTTCGAGTTCTCGAGGTAAGCTGAGCTTGCTCCTTTCTTGGAGGGATGAGGATCACAGAGTTTTGCATTAATCTTATAAAGCTCGAGGGCTTTAATAGCTGCTGCATTATTATCCATACGAAGAAAAGTCGGACAGGAAGCACAAAACTCATTCGTGCAGGCCTCATTTCCACAGCCCTCGGTTAACTGGTGGTAGTAGCGTTCTATTAGATGCTTTGCAGCTGCTCGCTTCCTGTACCAAACATTCAAACAATAAGCACAGTGATTAGTACAGCTCTCGTGTACAAAGCTCAACAGATTATCAAGGCAAAAATTAGTCAAGCACTGAAGTAATAAACCTGTGTATTAAGATGAAAAGTAGATGCATTATTAGCCTACAACTTCTGACTAGTGAAATAGTTAATAAATATGTTCTAGGATATTGTGATAAAGAATGTCATTTGTTTATCTGACTGTATTGTTTTAACAGAGTAGACATCCCTTTGGTTTAAAAGTGGGGAGGGGAGATTCTCTGATGGTATATGTGCTTACGTTGCTTAGCACAACAGCTGAAAAATGACAAGGTTTATAGCTAAGAGTTTCAGGATTCTATCATTTTAAAAATTAGCATTAAGAAAATGACTCTATTTAAAGCGTCAATCCAGTTTTGTCTTACATAACCATTATTTCATTTTTAACAGTTTGTAAATATTTGACTTATAGTTAACACAGAATATCTATCTGGAAGTACAAAACTTTTTTTTCCCCCAAAAATGAGAGACTTAAAAAAAAATTTTTAAGTGAAATATCCAAAGCTAGTGTTACACTGAAAGAAAGTGGCTGCAGGCTGGTTGAGGTAGCTCATGACTGTAATTAATGCCGTAACTTTGGGAGGCTGAGGCAGGCAGACTGCTTGAGCCTAAGAGGTTGACACCAGCCTGGGCAACATAGTGAGACTACGCTTTACAAAGTTTTTAAAAAATATTAGCCAGGTGTGGTGGCATACACCTGTAGTCCCAGCTACTCGGGAAGCTGAGGTGGGAGGATCACTTGAGCCTGAGAGTCAAGGCTGTCGTAAACTGAAATCGGATCACTGCACTCCAAGCCTGGGCCAGGAGCCAGACTTTGTCTTAAAAAAAAAAAAAAAAAAAAAAAAAAGAAACAGAAAAGAAACTGGCTCCAAAGTATACAATCTTAAATCTAAAACTTGACACTAAACCTCCTCCTCAGTTCCACATTACAAGATGGAACACTTTAAGTTTCATTACGCAAAATCTGATACTCTTTGTACTCTGTGAACTTAGTGTACACAGATTAATGTCCTATTATGACTGTTCGGGAGAGCTACCAACATTGAGGAAGGAATTAATGTGATCAAGTAAGAAGTTAGATGACATTACCTCTATATTCAACTCTAAAGAGTCTATGCTTCTACTAATTGATGATATGAGATTATCATAATTTAAGTAGAATAAACTACTGGATCCAAAGAAACATTAAGTCACAGCTATTCTTTTTGGTCCCAAATTCACAAGTATGGTAATAGAAACTACAAAGAATCAAAACTGTAAGGAAAAATAATTCAGCTAATTTTCAAAACAGTCACAGAACTGTCATACTACCATGCAGGACTAAAGAACCATTGGCATGGAGTTTACATCTTGTTCGTCACGAGAAACTCAATTAACAAGGCAGCAAATAAGTGATGAGACATGGCAGCCCAATTTTGTCTCAAAAGGACTCTGACTCTCTAAACTATCCAGGTAGGTGACAAAAAGTGATAATTCACACACATTCAATTCATTATGGTGCTTATAATTTTTCAAATGTTCCATGCAAAATACCACTCACTGCATGCAAAGAGAGAAAAAAGAAAATCCACAAAGCACTAGTAAAAATTGCATAAGCATGACTTAGACATTTCACTATCTATGAAGCTATAAACAACCCCACCTGAAAATTAAAAACTTATCACAGATGCATCACTATGTAAAATATGAAAATGAAAACATGTAAAAATACAAGGGGAATGCAGAATCCAGAAGGTTTAAAACAGACTGCTACTCTTCAGTAAAGAAAGGGAGATAATGTCATGTTCTCCCAAACTACAGTGACTTCCCTGGTGAAATGTAAATAGGTAATCCTTTCTGGAGGAAAACAGTGAACATGTATCAAAATCTTAAAAACATGAATACTGTATGAATGAGATCTTGTGGGAAATAATGAGATCTTGTGGGAAATAATTACAAAAATGCATTGTTTCTGTATCTGAAAAAAATCAACATGTCTAATAAAAGATTACTTAAATTAACTAATAGATCACACAGTAATTAAAACTATAGAGGCTGGGCATGGTGGCTCATGCCTGTAATCCCAGCACTTTGGGAGGTCGAGGCGGGTGGATCATGAGGTCAAGAGATCGAGACCATCCTGGTCAACATGGTGAAACCCCATCTCTACTAAAAATACAAAAAATGAGCTGGGCATGGTGGCGCATGCCTGTAATCCCGGCTACTCAGGAGGCTGAGGCAGGAGAATTGCCTGAACCCAGGAGGCGGAGGTTGCGGTGAGCCGAGATCGCGCCATTGCACTCCAGCCTCGATAACAAGAGTGAAACTCCATCTCAAAACAAAAAAAAAAAACAAAAAAAAACCAAAAAAAAAAAAAAAAAAACCAAACCAAACCAAACCAAACCAAAACATTAAAACTATCAAGATTTGAATTCGATAAGGAATAGTCTTCCTGATCTATCACCTACTGACAAAAGTCAGTTACAAAATAGCAGGTGTAGGATGAACCCATTGTTATTTCAGAGCACTAATAGTATTTTCTCTGCTTGATGTGATGAATTATAAAACTTCTTCCATCTTTTGATCTCTTATTCATTCCTTCTATATTAAAGCATGCTGCTTGCATATTAAAAATTAATAAATATGATAAAAGGAAAATGAGCAGTTGTAAAACTTCCTCTATATGATTTGAATGGCCCCAAGATTTACTAAATTGTCTCTGATTTTTAAACAATTATCAAAGTCAAAATACCAAAATACTCAAGATAGATTTCAATGTGAACTTCTGTACTAAAATAACCTCCCCAAAACTTGTCAGATAAATAGTAGTTCTTTATATACTACATAGGAGGAGAGTGATCATCACAAACAGAACAAGACTGAAAAATCAGAAGACCTGCATTAAGTGTCATCCGTCTATCTCTAAGTAGGATCCCAGGGAAATAATTCTCTGGGCCTCAGTTTTCCCACCTTTATGAGTCCCTTCAGTTCTGATTTTAAAATTATTCTATGTAACACGGAGGTGAGCAAGAAACTAGTATTTGTTGGATGCCTGATAACATACTAGACACACTGCTGGGCACTCTAACAAAAGTCACCTCATTGGAAAACCATGACGTTGAGGACTATCTTCAGTCCACAGCCAGAGAGAGAAACACAACTGGCGTCAAATCATGAAACCAAGATCTCAGAGAAATTACAGAACCAAGGCCAGAATAGGAGTCTTTCAGCTTCAGAGTCCAAGTCATTTTGACTATACTGGTTTGCAGAAGGTGATTAATTTCAAAATAATTAGTTTTTTAACAGTAGTAATGAAGAATTTTATGGGAAAAAAAATCTCATAACATACGTGCAACTGAGAAAGAAATCTGAAGAATCATAATGTGAATCTCACATTTATGCATATATTTGGTACCACAAAGGTAGACCAAGTTTCTTGAAGAAACAGAACCAGTATATTCTGTAAAGTTAATTTATCTCTAATTCGTTGAGAACCTATGTGCTATACATTTTATAGACATTCCCACTTTAGAAGGAAATAAACCTTAACAGTTAAGAGCTTGCATTCTGAGGCCAGAAGCCCAAGTTCACATGATGGCTTTACCTCTTAATTAACCATATGACCTTGAATGAGTTATTGGACCTTTCTGTATGTCAGTTTCCTCATAATTGAAATGGTAGTATCTATAAGCATTATCATGGTGAGAATATTATTTCTCACATTATCAATTGTGAGAGAATTAAATGTGTGTGTGTGTGTGTGTACGTGCGCGTGCGCATACATATCTATCTATCTATCTATCTATCTATCTATCTATCAAGTGCTGGCCGGGCGCGGTGGATCACGAGGTCAAGAGATCGAGACCATCCTGGTCAACATGGTGAAACCCCGTCTCTACTAAAAATACAAAAAATTGGCTGGGCATCGTGCCGTGTGCCTGTAATCCCAGCTACTCAGGAGGCTGAGGTAGGAGAACTGCCTGAACCCAGGAGGCGGAGGCTGCGGTGAGCCAAGATTGTGCCATTGCACTCCAGCCTGGGTGACAAGAGCGAAACTCCGTCTCAAAAAAAAAAAAAAAAAATGCTTAGAATATTGCCTGGTACATAGTAAGCAATATGAAACTGTTAGCTACTACTGTGATTGTTGTAATTGTAATTATTACCCTCACAAGTGTATGAGTTAGCACTATTTCATTCTGCTGATGCTCAGAGAAATTACATAAGTAAATCATACATCTAATAAGAGATCTGAACCCAGCTACTAAACTTTAGCTTTAGGAGGATTTGAAAGTAGCCACCTGTATTTGATCTGCCTCTCTGTGACAAGTTTACAAATAGCAGCTACACTGTTAAGACAGGACTAAAGGAAGCCAAGCCAGAACTTCCATGTTAATGGTGCAATCAACTGCATTAAACATCCTTCTTTTTTACTCCAGTGACACCTTAATTTACTGATTGCACCTGTATTATTATCTAATTTAGGGCATGTAAAAGGCATACAAAATTTAGAGCACATAAAAGGCCTCTGTGTTGAAATGTATATGCTATTAATGACTTTTTCTTTTAGTTCCTGTGCAAGGTTAATTCTTGTACCATATGGGTCACTAAATCACAGCTCATGAGTCAATCATGAGTCAAGCTGAGTCTACTACCTGTTTTATATGTCTCTCAAGCTTAGAATATTTGACATTTTTAAATGGCTGGAAGAAGTTTGAAAAAGTATTTTGTGACAGGAAAATGATATAAAATTCAAGTTCCAATGTCCTTCAAGTACACCGGAACATACCCAAGTTCACTGATTTATAAATATACTATATATGATATGGTTTGGCTGTATGTCGCCACCCAAATCTTATCTTGAATTATACTCCGATAATGCTATGTGTTGTGGTGGGGGAACCCAGCGGGAGATAATTTGAATCATGGGGTGGTTTCCCATATGCTGCTCTTGTGGTATTAAGTCTCACGAGATCATATGGTTTTATCAGCGGTTTCTGCTTTTGCATCCTTCTCATTTTCTCTTACTGCCACCATGTAAGAAGTGCCTTTCACCCTCTGCCATGATTCTGAGGCCTTCCCAGCTATGTGGAAGTCCAATTAAACCTCTTTTTCTTTGCCATTTGGGTTATGTCTTTATCAGCAGTGTGAAAACGGACTAATACAATATACTATATAGTTTATGGCTATTTTTCATATTACAGTTGCAGAGTTGAGTATTTTGGCCCTGCAAAGCTTAAAACAAAAGCCACCTGCCCTTTATAGAAAAGGTTTGCCAATTATCTCTGCCCTCCACTAAGTGCCTCTGCCATCTAATCATTTGGCCTCTTAACTCTCTCCTTCCCCTCAGCAAATAAGTAAAAAAAAAGGCATACCTTTCCCCAAGTATTATACTACTAAATAAAAGAAGAGGAGAGGGAAAAAGGGAAGAAGAAAGTGAGGAAAAGGAGTGGGTGCAAAAGAAAAAGAAGGAAAGAGAGGAAATTCCCCGATGAGGTCCCGTTACAATACCTTGTCAGCTGTGCATAAGCAAAATTCCTAGAAGAGGAACTGTAGCTTACTTGCTATAATTTCTTCACATTCCATTGACTGTTCTTATTACTCATAAAACAAAGTACTTTATAATCTGTTGATTTTTTTAAAATAAAACAAACTTTTCTTATTTAGTCAGCAGTGCAGGTCAAGTGAGACCTTCTAGTAAAAGACCTCTGAAGTTAGACACATGAAAACACTTATCCATTTAAAACAGACAATACTTTCCAATTATTTATTTTTACGATTGAATTAGTGGGACAGTGCTACAAATAGAAGTCCTGTGGAATAAATAATATATGGAAGGTCAGAGTTTACTCTAGACAGCTTGACAGCAATCAGTTTAAAAAAGGTTTCACCTAGAGGGATGTGTACTGATGTTAGCAATTAACTTTCAAATCCATGAAAAATTAAAGATGGATTGATTGTACAAGGAAGGATATATGATAAAGCAATGTAAATATTAACAGCAGAATCTAGGTGGCAGGCCTATGTGTGTCAGCTGTAAAATTTGTGTTCAATGTTTTAGTTCCCACGTATCAGTGAGAACATGTGATATTTGTCTTTCTGTGCCTGGCTTAGTTCACTAGAAATATGAATTTACAAGACAACTGAAGTACAAGTAATGAATACAAGCACTAAGAACATGAAGCCATAGAAACAGCTGTCAGAAACTGAAGATGTGACAGTGAACACTGAACAAATAAGATTAGAATTACAATTAGAATCAGAAATGGCAAAAGAGAAATATTAACTGTGAGATGCAATATAAAAACTAATGGTGGATAAAGCAAAGAATAAAGATAAAAAGGGAAAGACTGAAAGGAAAATGTGACTGTAAGTAGAGTGAACTTTGTATCATATAGAAGATAAAACAGAATGAACACGTGAGGAATCTAAAAAACAGATATAAAACAAACAATTCAAGGCTTATATAATTAATTAGTCTATAAAGCTAAAAACCACCACTTAGTAATTTCTCCTAAGCGGAGTCTCCTTATTCTTTCTGGGATGTTGTAAAACTCCATTCTATCTCAAAGTAATTTTTAATGTAAAAATTTGTAAGAATGAGCAACAGTATCCTAAATAGTTCTCGGCCTTGTAGAAATACATGTGAGACATCTATGACACGGCTATATTCAGTATGAGGTAAGATCTACTACAATGGGATGAAGTGAATTTAGATTATTTTGAGACTAAACCTACAATTGTAAACTCTTTAGTACCATGACCCAAACAAAAATCTATTAAATATAGAACAAGATAATTTTCATGAAAAAATAAATACAAATCAGTACTTTCAACTGTTTGAAATATGCGTAACACAGGAATAACCTTCAAGAATTATTTTATTCATTTCTATAGCCTCAATGCCCAGAGTGCTTGATATATGATAAAAACAAAGTAAAATTGTAGAACTAAATATTTACATAATATAATTCATCTGGAAAATGAAAATCTGTCTGTTTTAACATGTCATATTTCACAGTTAGAAAGGAAGAAAAACCCCAAATCAACAAATTAACTTTACATCTTATGGAACTTGGAAATGAAGAACAACTTAGACTCAAAAGTTAACAACAATAAAAAAGTTACGGCAAAACTAAAAAGAGAAACAGAAAAGTTTTTCAATAGAAAAAAACAATGAACAAAATTAGGAGTAGCTGTTTTATTGACAAATTGTTAGACTAAGAAATGAAGCAAACAGACACAAATAGCAAAATCTGGAAATAAGGAAATAATTTAACTGTTGCCACAGTTAAATAGGACCATAACAGACTAATATGAACGACTATGCTCCAACCAATATGATAACCTTTGATAATGGATAGACACATAAAACCCACCAAAACTGAATCACAAATAAATACAACTTCTGAATAAACCTATAACTATTAGAGATTGAATTAGTAACTGTCCAACAACACCAGGGCTTACTGAAAACTCTCTGAAAAAACTAAAGAGGACAGAACCCTTTCAAAATGATTTTATAAGGTAAGCATTACTTACATATAAAATTCAGACAAATTTACTACAAGAAAAAAGATTCCCTGATAAATACTGATGCAAAAAAAATCAACAAAACACCAAGAAACGGAATTCAATAATGCATTAAAAAGATTATACTTCATAAATCCTCAAATGGGATTTATGAATAAAATCCAAGGATGGTTCAAAATACAAAAATCACTTTAATACACTGAATTTTTAGGACAAAAACCAATCATCTCAACTGACTCAGAAGAAGCACCTGACAAAATTCAACATCCTTTCGTGATTTAAAAAAAGGCCAATGCACGGTGCATGCCTGTAATCCCAGACTTCCAGAGGCCAAGGTGGGTGGATCACCTGAGGCCAGGAATTTGAGACCATCCTGGCCAACATGGTGAAACCCCGCCTCTACTAACAATACAAAAATTAGCTAGGTGTGGTGGTGGGTGCCAGTAATTCCAACTACTCAGGAGGCTGAGGCAGAAGAATCACTTGAACCCGGGTCGCAGAGGTTGCAGTGAGCTGAGATCGCGTCCCTGCACTCCAGCCTGGACGACCAGAGCAAAATTCCATCTCAAAAAAATAAAAACATTCAATTCACTAGAAAAATATGGAAATTATTTCAACATAATAAAGGCCATATATGGAAAGACCACAGCTACTATTATGCAAGGATTAAAAAAAATAAAAACCTTTCCCTCTAAGATCACAAACGGAACGAGAACGCATATATTCACTGCTTCCATTCAACATACTATTTATTACAAGTCCTTCCAGAGTCAGTAATTGGGCAAGAAAAAGAAATAAAAGGTATTAAATGAGAAAAGAAATAAAATTACTTCTGTTAGCATAATCTTGTATGTTGAAAACTCTAGTCTACAAAAAAAAAAAACCTGTTTGAATAAAGGAATTCAATAAAGTTACATGATACAAAAACCAACATTAAGAAATCAGTTGCATTTCTAAATACTGAAAATGAAGAATCCAAAAAGGAAATTAGTTTTAAAAATCCATTTACAATGAAATCAAAGAGTAAAATAGGGAATATTTTCACCAAGGAAATGAAAAGAACACGTACACTGAAAATTATACATCAATGCTAAAACAAAGACAACACAAATAAATGGAAAGACATTCAAGTTTATGAACTGGAAGACTTATTAATGTTACGATGGCAATACTATCCAAAGCCATCTGCAAATCAAAGCAATCCCTATCAAAATCCCAACGGCATTTTTTACAGAGACAGAAAAATCATCTTAAAATTCATACAGACTCATGAAGGAACCTGAATAGCTGAAACAATCTGTACAGCAAACAAAGCTAGAGGCCTCACATTCCCTGATTTCTAAATATATTGCAAAGCTATAGTAATCAAAACACTATGGTGCTGATATAAAGACAGATTTATATAAACCAACTGAACAGAAGGGAAAAGAGTAGGGA